GGTTCGGGGTCTCTTGGGGTGCTGGTGGGAGCTCCTGGCCTCCTGCAGCATCTGTCTGGATGATATCAGCACACTCCCACCTGATTTTTCTTTGCCCTGTCTCATTGTGGTCATTTCTTTGCAGCAAGCAGACCCCGGGAAGATGTTCCCGGAGCTGAAGGACAACTTTCTGGACAATGTGAAGAGACTGAGAAACACCATGGCTCACGCAGACCTGAAGGTCAGTGCTTGCTGCCATCCTACTCTTCCCCATCCAGGAGTCCCCTGCTTGGGGGAGGGACTGGAATGTCCCCACCTGGAAAAATGAAGGGCTGCTTGAGCCAGGCTTGGGCCACTCCCACCCCAGGGAAGGGGATGGTGCTCACCACCTTCCTTGGCCAAGCTGGAGCTCATGGCACAGCTCCCCTGGGGTGAATTCCCCCCATGCCCATTAATGTGCTGGTCCCCCTCGTTGCAGTCCATGGAATCCTGGATGTACAACTGGCTGCTGTTTGAGATGGCCAAGAACCCCAAGTCGGAGGAGAACAAGGCAATCCCGGCAACTAAAGGTATTGGGGATGGGGCTGCTGAGCTGGGGAGGGTCAGGGAGGTGTTGGCATGGGTCATCCCACAGGGAGCCAAGCCCTCCCTCCGGTCATGGTCCTGTTCATTCCGTGGGGAGCCTCTGCTTGGTGGCCTATAGGACATCACAGAGCATCTCTGTCTGCTGCATGCAGGGCATTTGGGGTGAGCAAAAGGCTGAACAGCTGGAGCACCACCCCAAATCCTCCACCCCTGGCTAGCCCAAGAGCTTGAGAAAGGTCACGGGGCTGGGGCTTGTTCACCTTTAAATTAAACTGCTTGTGGGTAGAATCTCCTGCTGAGGCTGCTGAGGGGGAGAAGGGCCTCAGGGAGAAGGGAGAGGTTGATGGGGTCTCCCCTCTGTTTCTGTTACCCTAGTGCAAACTAAGTGCCAGGCCGAGGCCAATTTTGGGGGTGTCCATCCAGGCCGGTTCCACCCACAGTGCGATGAGAACGGTGACTACCTGCCCAAGCAGTGCCATTTCTCCACTGGCTTCTGCTGGTGCTGCTACAAAAATGGCACCAAGATTGAGGGCACTGCTACTCGGGGAAAGCTGGACTGCTCTGGTAGGTTGCCAGGGAGGGGAAGGAGAGGAATGAGCAGTATGCAAGGACTGCTTGGGATTAGGGAGGAGGAGAGCTAGGAGAGGAGAGGCATCCACGCTGTAGGGAGCACCCCTCTGGTGCCAGCATGTTAAGACTAGAGGGGACCCTTAAAGCCACCCCAGGTCTCTGCAGGTGGAGCCAAGGTATGCAGACAGGGTTTTCCACGAGCCCCCCTTGCCCCCAGCCCCCAGCTCAGCAGTGGGTGCAGCCTCTCCCCCACTGCCCTCTGTGGGATGGGGTGTGATGGGGCAGCCCTGGGGTCCAGCACCCATATCCTGCCCTCCCTTTGCAGGGGCTGCTGCTCCTACCAGTGCCGCTGCCACCCCGGATCCGGACGAGATGATCTTCTCCGGGGTGGACACGCTCAAGCTGAACGTGGAAAAACGTGAGTGTCCAAGTGCAGTCCAGGACCGGGAAGGGGAGCTCCTGGGGGAGCACCAAAGCGCTGCTGGGGAGGTTGTGATGGAGACAGGGGTTTTGGTTGGTCCTTGAGCTGTCCTGCTGACTACCTCCTCTTTTTCCCCCACAGCAGAGTAGAAGATGCCAGCAGTTGCCTCCAGCATCCCAGCTCCTGTCTGTTTTTTTCCCCCGTTTCTTTTCTGCGCTTACATCGCTGACCTTTCCCCGGCTGTAGAACAGCAGCTGGGGCTGAGCTGCCACGACTCTGAGTGCTAGAGACAAAGTGTCCCCTCCGAGGGTGGGTAAAGCAGGCTGGAAAATTATTTCAACCATGTCAGATCCATAAATCCTGTTCCCTTTGGCTCATCGACATCCCACAGCACCTAGGCAGTGGCAGAGCTCACCCCTGCTGAAGAATTAATGCTTCCTTGCACTAAATGAACATTAAAAGCAGCAAAACAATATCCACCAGCTTCTTAACTGATCCCCGTAGGCTGGAGCCCTGTTAGATTACTGGAGTAGAGGGTTTTTATTGTGGGGTGCTCAGATTTGTAGACAGAGATCTTCGCCTACAGCCGCAGCAGTGGGTAACCGTGGGCAGAGGGGCTTCTAATCTTCCTGAATATATCTGATTGTTCCTTTATAAATGAGCTCAAAAGCTAATTATTTCAAATAAACTTTTGAATAAGAAAGCCCTGTAAGCAACTCTAGCAGGGCTGTGCTTGCAGTTTGCAGCTGTTGTAGGTTAAAAATAAATGCATCTTAATAAAAAAAGGGATAAAGAAAAATCTCTGCAACACTTGGACACCTGTGTCCTCACCCAGGACTGTACGTGTTTCTTTCCCCATTGCTGGCCCCTCCCTTGTTTGATTTCCCCCCTGGCCCCCATCATGGCCCGGGAGGCTGAAATCTCCTTTCAGTGAGTCACAGTGGTGGGGGGAGAGGAGAGGAGCAGCCCCCTGTGCCAGGAGCCATCTCCCTCCTGGAGCCAGAGAGCTCTGCCCTCACCCAGGGAGCACAAGGGGATGTGGTCCTTTTTTCCTCACCTCCTAGATCCCAGTCTGTCCCCAGGGAGCAGGAAGAAAACAATTATTTTTTTCCCCAAGGGTTGAAACAGTGCCCATGAACCCAGGCAGACACTGGGCTCTGCTCTCCTACACACAACATCCTCCAGAACCAGGTGGTCTTGGTCACCTCCCTTCCTTTGAAAGTAACAGAAGCAAAATCTTATGTTGTTGGGTTTTATTTTGTACTCCATAAAAAAACAACACAAAAACTGACTCTGCCTTGGCTGAGAACAACTGCTGGACACAGCTGTTCAGTGCAACTCCACGGACATGATAATCACTACTGTCAGTGTTAGAATAAAAAGGAAACCCGAGCTCTCTTCTGTAGTAGCAAAAGGACTGACACCACAAGTCACAGAAGGAGGAGGGGAAAAAAAGGTAAAGGTTTCTCTTAAAAATATAGCTCTGTGGTAAGAGAAAGGGACGACTGGGTGTCAACAAGGAGAAAAGCAGTTTGTGCTCTGCTCTGGTCAAACTGCCTTCTCCAGTTCTGTTCCATGGGGAGGGACAATAAACACATCTCTGGGCCCCAGCAGGGCAGGAGGAGGCAGAAAGTTACACTGCTCTGCTCTAAAAGTCACAGTTAAAAGAAGTTATAAATTATATTTAAAAAAAAGTTGGAATTCTCCTGATGAGCTTCCTTTTCCTTTCTTCTGTTTGATCTTCACCCATAAATCCTTAATCACAGGAATGCGGTACCTTTGGGGAGAGGAGTTAAAAGCATTAGGGATGGGGAGGAGGAGAACAGCCTCACAGCTGAGCAGAGCACGGGCAGAGGCATCTGGTCCACTTCCAGGTGGCTACAACATCACCATCTAATCCACATCACTCTTCCATGCTCCCTGTGGTCAGCAGGGACAGACAGACACTGCCAGAGGCCGCTCATCTCTGCTGGTGACAGAGGTCAGCAACATCCAAGCTGGATATCCAGTTCTCAGCAGCTAAAGAGTTGAGGTCAGACACATCCAGAGAAGCCAGCACACGGCTGCATGACATTCCTCACACTGCTCCACTCCCTGGCCCTCTAATCTAAGGCCAGGCTGGCTCAGTGACCACTTAGAGGGCACACTGTCTTCCCAAAACTGGCCCAGGAGTTCTGAATTTGGCCAAGGTTACCGCCGCTCTGAGGTACCAATGGATAGTCCCCATCTACAGGCCATGTACCTTCTCACAGTCCTTCAGGCTCAGCTGTTTTCTTCTTCTAAAAAGAAAACAGGGAGAAATAAATAATGATCATCAGCACTGCAAACATGAAGGACCCAGCAAAGCCACAGAGGCTTCCTGGATATGTCCCTGTGGAGGTGGTAGCCACCATGAGGAACATCCTGTAGTCTCCCTTTGAGCCCTTGGAATGGGATGCAGTAGCCTGCCAAGCCCTCAGCAGCTCCAGCTTCTGCTGAGAACAAGATGAACAGAGAGCTGAAGAGCAGCACTTACTCCTTGGACAGGCTCTCTTTGCCACCAAAAGGGCCCCTGGGTTTGACCCTTCCAGGGACAGGGATCTCTCCTGGGGCAGCAATACAAGAACAAGCCCTTCTTCGAGCCACCCTAATCCCAAACAAAGTTCAAGATTTCTCAAGATTGGCCACAGTGAACTGCAGGCTCCTCTGTACTGCCAGCAAAGCCAGGACATGGCTCTGTTCCTTCTCTAGCCTGGTACGCTGCCAGGATGGGATGAGCACCACAGCCATGGCTCAGAACAGCTCTGCCCACGGTACCCCAGCCCAGGGTCTGGCACATACCTTCTTCTTCTTCTTGTGAACCTCAGCAGAGCCATCTGCTACAGGCTCCCCTTCAAAAGACACCTTTTTGCTTTTCTTCTTTTCTTTTCCAGTCTTCTTTTCTGGGAGACGGAAAGAAAAGCCAACTAAGAGAGGGATTCTGGTATTGTCAGCCTCTGAGAGGGAGCACAGACTGGCAGGAGAGCCCCCAGTAAGTTTTTGATCACATCCAAACTTGAGCAAGCTTTCCAGAGCAGGAACTGGATGAGGCCAGAAGCCTGCTACAGGCAGCTGTATCCGGGGATGTTTCCCTAATACCTCTGAGCCAGAGCAATTTGATCCCACCATCTGTCTACACATGTGGGTGGAATTACATAGGATTCCCTCCTTTCCATATCCTGCTGCCCACCCGCTCCAAGGAACCGCTTCAGGGCTGGAGGAGCTGGGCACATGCCAGAAATGAGAGCAAGGGGAGCTGCTAACACAGGATGGGCATGAGGTTCAGCTCAGCACAAATGCTCCAAGAGGCTTCAGCTCACCCATGTCCAACTGCCCACATGAGGGCCAATGGACAAGTCTGTCTGCTCCAAAAATAAGGGCTGCATTTCAGCAGAACAGAAACTCCAGCAGATATGGCCCAGTCAATCCATCTCCTTTTCTTTTTTTTTTTTTAAAGCCTACAAGATCCAGCACAGAACCAGCTCTGGTTTGCAAATGCAGGCTGCACTGCAAAGAAAAAAATGGCCTTTGGATTAGGGCAGCAGGCAGAGCACTACAGAATGGCAAGCTGTAGAAAGGTAACAAGTGACAGGATAAGAGGAAATAACCCCAAGTTGAGCTAGGGGAGGTTTGGATTGAGTATATGGAAAAATTTCTTCACTGAAAGGGTTGTCAAACACTGGAACAGGCTGTCCAGGGTAGTGGTGGGGTCACCATCCTTGGAGATATTTAAAAGGTGTGTAGATATGGCACTTGGTGACATGGTTTGGGAGTGGGCCTGGGTTAATAGTTGGACTTGATGATCTTAGAGGTCTTTCCAACCCAAATGACTCTGATTTAAGAGGGAAGCAGCCAAGCAGGAAGTCAATAGGGAAGTGGGTGCTACTTACAAGGCCCTGCACTGGAGGCTGAACATGCATCAGCTGCAAGAACCTACTGCCAACTAGGCCCCAAGTGTAGCATGCTTACTTTTAGCTGGTTTTTTCTTTTCCTTGCTGCCTGCCGTCTTCTCCGGGTCACCATCTTCTTTCTTTTTTTTCTTTTTGGGTACTTCTTCATTAGCCTGCCCTTTCCGTTTCTTCTCCTTGGGCTGCCCCACAGCCCCATCCTCTCCCCCCAGTTTCCGCTTCTGAGACGTTTTCTGCTTCTTGTTCTCTTTGTCTTTGCTCTTAGACGGTTTCACAGCCTTGTCTGCCGTGGAGGATGGTTTCTTCTTTTCCTTCTTTTCTTTTTTCTCCTTTTTCTTCTTCTTCTTCGCTTCCAATCCTTCCACTGCCTGCACTGCAGGGACTTTGGCAGCAGTGGTGACCTCGGTTTCGCTCCCTGAGCTTGGCTCCCCTGACTGTGGGACGGAGAGCGGGGCATGTGATGGTGCTGGGGTCACTTGCACCTCTTTTGCACCAACATCATTCTCTTTCGCTGCCAAGGCTTTCTTGAGTGAAGGTTTGCGGCTGGCATGACCTGGCTCTGTTTTTCCTGCCACCTTCTCTTTGTTGGAGGCTTCTGTGGCTTCCTGCCCTGAAGGGGGGTTGTTTTCTGCAGAAACAGTGACAAGAGAGAGAAGGCAACTCAGGGAGCACTCATTACACAGACCACAGTCACAGGAGGATGGAAATATGCATTTTCTCCTCACAAGAAAGCTAAACCTGCTGGCTACCTATAGCAGTCAAAGAAAGATGCCTCAGCCTGAGATCAATTATCTGGAGAGGGAAGGGGGTGATAACACTCACAACAGCTTTGGCTGTTTGACAAGATGGGTGAGCACAGATAGATCAGTCCTTCCCCAGGACACCATTCCCAGTAAGGCAGGGACTTACCAAGGTGGTGGGGGTATCCACACCACCATGTTTAACCATCATCCATGGCAAACCCCAGTGCACCTGGGCCTTCTTGAGCCCATATATAGCCTTGACCTCCTCAACACTCTTTTGCATGATGTAATTATGTGCTCAAGGGGCCAACAGACCTGTTTGAGCATCTAGAGCAGGCCAGAGCTCACAGCCAGGCCACAGTTCACACCAGAGCAGAAGCAGCTTCCAGCTCCAATTTCTGCTATTTGCCAACAAACCAGGGAAATGGTGGGACTTTTCCTTTCTCCACAGGTCTTCCCACTTGCTTCCCCTGCTCTGCGCTCCAGATATGCTACAGACCCCACACAGCACTGGGCATACAGCCCAATGGGAGGCTTAAATAACAGCACTGTGTAGCAGATGTTCTTCAGCCAGTGTTTGAATCTTCCACAGAAGCCATCACTACCTCAGCACACCAATGCAGTGTGCCTCAGCTCCAGGGATAGCCCTCCCTGCTCCTGTTAATTACTGTGGATAAAGCAGAGCTCAGAGGAGACAAAGGCACTGAGCACTGAGCCTCACAAGCAGCCAGCATGAGCAGGGTGTTCAGGGAGAGGGCTGTGCCATGGCCAGGGAAGCCAGCAGACGGCAGCAGCACTCCACGCTGCTGGGCTCCGTGATGGAGACACACTGGGAACACGGCCCGTCCCACTGACACCCTTGCCAGTGTCACCCTCCTGTGCCAGCACGGCTTTGCTCCAGGGACAAGCAAATTCCCAGCCCTGCCAAAGGAGACCCACCTGCTTTGTGGTTTGCAGCCACCTGGTTGTCATCTGTGTCGGAGTCACTGCTGTCAGTGCTTGAGCTGTCGGCTGGGGCTGCTTTCAGAGGGGCCTTGGCGGGAGAGTTTGCAGCAGTCACAGCTGCCTTCCCCGGCCCCACTTCACCCACAGGCTGGGAAGGAACCGTCTTTGGGGCCTGAGGTGCTGCTGGGGCCTTGGAGAAGCCCAGATAGCCTGTGAGGAGGGACTGAAACAGCACAGACACACTGAGGAGTCACAGCAGGGCAGCCTCCCACACACCAGACACACAGAGCTGTCTCTGCTGCTATTGTCCTCATACTCCAAGTGAAGGGCCCACCTTTGGCCACTGGTGGAGCCAGCTCTGAAGAGCTCAGGGCTACCAGGAGAGGGGCCAGCCCTGACAGACACCGGCTGAGCTGACAGCCATGAGAGCTGGCGGCCAGAGGTTCTCTTCTTTGTTCTCGCCCAGCAAGGCAGGCTTGGGGGAGGCTCCTGGCCATGAGTGTGCGCCCACGCACAGCTAATGCACTGCAGATGTGCTGCACGCCCTGCACGTTACTTACAAAGGGAATTTAATGGCTTGGACACGGGTTAAGTTACAAATAAAAGTGGGGGAAAAAAATTCCTGCTGCTATTGGCACTGTGCACCAGTTCTCCTGGTTTAACCCTTGCAAGGTACCATCTCCTCCCGTCTCTTCTCCCAGCAAAGGCACCATGAACCCTGGACCCGAGGCTGGCTGCCTGGGGAAGCATTCCAGGTCCAAGAGACTCCCTCTTCCCCCACCAAAAATCTTGCTCACACCACTCCACTGGAGGGCCCCCAGTTCTCTGCTGGAAAACCCACCCAGCACCCTGTCTGCTGTGGCTGAGGATTGAGTCCTCTCTCAATCCTACTTAGGAGCCTGCTGCGAGACATGAGAGGATCCCAGCCTGCTCAGGTCCCATACCTGTGATGCTGCCTCCTCCTCCTCCTCACTGGACTCTGAGGAGGAGCTGTGGGCTGGCTGGGTCACTCCTGGTTTCTGCAGCGAGCCTGCTGGAAGAGCAGAGTTCATCCCATTAAAACCACCACTGCTGTCTGGAGCTGAGCTCACCTACCCAGCACAGGTACTGCCACCAAAAGGCCCTTCTACCTCCAAAGAAAGAGGAGTGCTCTGCCAAACTGGAGAGAGGGAACCACTCTCCAACCACTACACATCTCCCACAGGGTAGCAAAGCACTGTCTCCACCCTGACAGCACTTAAAGCATCTTCTGGAGAGAACTGACCAGTTCTGGGGGGCTCCTTGGGCGCCTCCTCCTCGTCACTGTCAGAGGAACTGCTGCTGTCTGTGGTGTCCTCTGCCTGGGTGGGCAGTGTGGTCTGGCTCAGCTGGGCATTCTGCACTGGCTGCAGGCCTGGCTTCTTCACCTTGCCAGTGGAACTTTCTGGGAGCAAAGCAGCCTGAGGGGCGGCAGTGTTGGCTGGAGGAGCTTTTCCCACAGGAACCGTTTGCTTTAAGCTGGAAGCAGCGGGGGCCTAGGGAGAGGAAAATGAGATAGATCTGAAAGGAGGAATAACTAACTGCTCATGTCCATGAACTATAAGCAGCAGCCCAGAGCAGATGGGCTTGGACCACCTTGGCCCTTCTTCAGGTGACACTACTGCAGTTCGTGTCAGGGTTAGCCCAAGAATCTCTCAGGCAGGACACAGAGACCCCAGCACACCCATCTTCTCCCTCTCCTCAGAGAAGCTCCCCACCTCCTCCATCATTACCTTTCCTGTCAGCACATTGTGCTCCAAGGAATCCATGCTGGAGCTCTCAGACACTCTGCTTGCTGGAGGGACAGCAGGAGTTTTTACCTTCTTCCCTGCGGGCAGGGTGGCATTGGCCTTTGCAGCCACCGTGCTCAAAACCGCAGTCACTTTGACATTCTGCTGGGGTAGACTCTAAAACAGATGAGAAAGAAAATCACGACAGAGCACAACCTGGAAGGAAAAGATAAAGAAGCATACACCAATCCAGCACTAACTCATGAGCCTTTCCATCATTTTCAACACCAAGGCCTTTTGTTTTTTTTTTCCTTCTCTCCTTTACAGACCAGCTCTGCCTCCCATGAGCCTCTGAGGCCTCTGGCACAGCCATGAGCAGCAGTAAGGGTCAGCACCCCAGGAGTGCAAAAGCATTAGCTCAGTGCCCCAAAGGCACCCATCAGGAGGGCAAACAAAATGTGTTGTGCTTGCAGGCTGTGAATCCCTACACACTGCAGCACCAGCAAGACTGCAGTTGCAAACCTTTGCATAGCTACCACTTGAACTCCAAGATGTCTTCTACACTCTAAAAATCACACACTAAGAGTTAATTGGTAAGAAGGATAAACAAAGACACCAATCACAGAGAAAATCTGCCTCCAGGTCCACAAGCCAGCAACAGATTACGGAGCAAATTAACAAGACGCAGTTTTGTTGCCTCACATTTAAAACCTCCCATCAAACTTAATGTAAGAGGAGTTAAAAATAGAAGAGCCAGGGGCATGGAAATCAGGCACTGACGACAGGGTCAAGACACAAATGCCAGCAGAGGAGGGAGCAGGAGCCACGAAGGAGCATTTGGCCTCCTTGTTTGTGTTACCAAAAAGGCTACGTGAGCAGCTCTGCCTCTCCAGATCTCTGACAAGCTGGGCCTTTGTGGGCTGACATTTCCCTCACAAAACATCTGGCCTTCAGAAAGGAAAAGGCAACGCTCTGCCATGCAGAGCCACCAATCCAGTGTGAGCTCTCAGCCCTCTCACACAAAGCTCAAGTTACAGCAGCTGCATTATTTTATACAGTCTTAGTACTATAAACATGCTTTATGCAAGGACTGCTCAGGCTGGCTGCCTGTCCATCAGCTGGCGGGAGACAGCCTTTCCATAGCCACAGCATCAGGCCAACATGGGGAAGGGTTTCCTGAGTGCACATAACGTCCCTCTCCCAGCAAAGGCACTGGCAGAGGATGGGTATGTGTGGGATATGAAGTGTGCTTGGCCACTAAGCCCTGGGCTCAGAGCACCAGCCAAGCCACCACCACATAGGAACGGTAGCAACGTTCCTCAGTCAGTGTTTTTTCATGCAGCTTCTTGGGCTCAAACTGCAGCAGAAGCGCAGAGACACCCAAGAGAGCTTCACACCAAGGCAGCTCTGTCCCCAGGGAGCTCAGCCACAGCCTTGCAGGACTGGCATGGAGACACGAAAAGACTCCAGTGGGAGCACTGGGATCAGCTCCATGACACTCAGCGTGCTCTCAGCACAGATATGAAGTCACCTCCCTTCTCCAAGGCAGGGTCTGGCTCCTCTAGCTGAAAGGCAGCAGGACCACTGTGCTACCCTTCAAGACAGATCCTTCCATCCTCCCAAGGCTTGCAGAAGAGGAGTCCAGAGAGCTCCAAGCTTTCGGGAGGAATCAGGCAATGGGTTGCCTTGGAGCTACACAGCTGATGGAAAGACGCTGCCTGGAAGGATTTGGCTGTTTTTCCAGTCTTACTTCCTAGAGTAGAGCAGAGGCAACAGAGTCCCAGAGGAGGTCTGGGTTCGTGTGTCTACTCGTGTTCCTGTCAAAGCATTCACACCCCCCCTGCTCTCACACACTGTAAGATTGCTGTGGCCAAGACGGGCACCCAGATCCACGGACACTGCCAAGAAAACCTGATCCAGCCAAGGGGGGGCTCCCCTGAATCACATATCACCTGCACAACTACCACCTTCCAAATCCTGAGACCTCCTGAGCTGCAGAACTAGCAGCCTACACACCCAGTGCATCAGCAGCTCCTCACCTGAGAAGGGGGGACTATTTCGTTCTCTGAATCTGACTCCTCGCTGGAATCATCGCTGCTGTCCACAGCTGGAGGGGCTGTGGCTGGTGCCGAAGCCAGTGCCTTCTTCACATTTGTTGGCTGGGGCACAGAATTGGTTTTCACTGCAGGAAAACCATAAGAGATTGTCATTGTGAGAAAGAGTTGCTCTCTGTGGCTATCCAGAGCAGGAGCTATCACAACAGGCTGCACTGTTCCATGCGCAAGGGAGAGGAGGAAACCCACGAGGATGCAGGTGAGGGATCGTGGTTACTACCAGGAGACTCACCAGCTTGTGGAGGCTGCCTCTGTGCTGCAGGGGACTCCTCTTCACTGTCAGACGAGTCACTGCTCCCACTTTCTGAGACCTGGCTTTTCAAGGTGCTTCCCACTGCTTTTTCAGGCGGCCCAGCTTTAGCAGTCTGGCTCAGGTTGGGAACAGGCCCGGGCTGTTCTGTTAACCTCTTAACAAAACAGAAACACAGGCCCAGAAATGCCGTGTTAGTACAGGTGTTGTTTAGGAGTTTAAGTGCAGTTTCAGCTCAAGTTGGGTTTTGTTTTACCCTAACACAGCTGTTACCAACACTCCATCCTTGGCACGTTAGGAGTGGAAAAGGCTTCAGTTACTGCCTGGACTGAGCTGCTGTACACACATACTTCTGCATTTAGCAATTTGCTTCTGACAGGAAACCCGAGAGTGTTTCACTCACGAGCATGCAGGCTGACAGTGCTCGTAAGCACACAACAGCAATTCCTTCTTCAGGCAGAGACACTGGCTGGACAGGAGCCTGAGGAGAAAGCACTGCAACCCCAAGCCTTTCACTCCAAGGAAGAGTTTTATTTAAGTTTGACCTACCCACAGCTCAGGGAATCTACGGAGCTGGGAAGCCTTGTGCCATAACACTTGCAAGATTCAGAGACAGTAACAGAGCAGCTACATCCTAGAGGTGCTGGAGGGCTCAGTGTTAACACAGGGCTGTCACAAGGGTTTGGGGACACAGAGGGCAGGCAGAGATAGACTGGGATTCACCTTGGAAACTGATGTGCCAATAGGTCTCAGAAATCCCCAGACAAAAAAAACCTCTGACACCTACTTTCTACAGCACCTGTCGACACTGATGTCCCAGGACAGGCCACAAGCCACCTCCCAAAGCAACTGCTGTGTCAGCACTAGGAAGCCACAGTCATCTCAGTCCCAGACACACAACTGCCAAGTGAGACTCTCTCTCTTCCTGGTCCCTCTCCCAGTTTGTGCTGAGGGCTGCAGACCCCCGTCCTGCACCTTGAATGCTAGTGGTGGCAGAGGGACAGGCAGCACTTGTGCAGAGATCTGGGAATTTCACCCCCCACAGATACTCCCCAGGCTCACAGTGCTCTGCACCCACTCCGTTTACTCCACTCATGGCTCATCTCTGGGCTGCTCTGCCAAAGAGTACGTCGTGTTTGCCAGGGCAGGCAGACCCTGTCCCCCTGGCATGTGATGGCAGCCTGCTTTGGCACTCAACGAGAGAGTCCTGCCCAGCTGCATCGCCCCTGCCACCCCCTGCCATGCTGCCAACACAGTGATATACCCCAGCAGCAGAGAGCACCAGCCTAGCAGGCCCCCCAAAAGACCAATCCTACCATGCCTCCTGGCACAGCCCTGCCACAGCCTGCCACTGGGGCAGTGTTTATCATCTCCAAGCCAAACACTAAACAGACAACAGCATCTGCATGTTTATCCCATTACAGAACAGCTCTCCGAACAAGCCAAGTACATTTTGACTCTGCTTAGAGAAACAGAAACCTCCACAAGTGCTTGGGGAGGGGGGACTGCAAACCTCAATTCTCCGTTTTGTTTTGATACCAGTGAGTCACAATCTCCAGGAGAGAGGCCAGATTTGCAAAGCTGAAGAGAGAGAACTACTTGAAGCACACAGAAGAATTCACACGCATTACTCTGAGCGTGCTAGCTCCTCTCCCTGCTGTCCCAAGCACTGCTGTGCAAGGGAAGAGCTTACCAAGATCAGAGCCCACTCACTCAGTTTTAAGCCCTTCATAGCAACAGGACTGGTTTCTCCCCCTGTGCGGATGCACAGCACAGGGCTGCTTGATTTCCTAACTTAGCAAGGGAGTGGGAACAAGCTGCCATGCAGGAGCATCCTAACACAGAAAGAACACAACAGCATCCACAGAGAAATCACCGTAAGGTTTGCACAGCCTCAGGACTCCTCAGATCTTCCTGGGAGGAGGCCAAGGTCCCTCCATCCCCATCAGATGGATGACAGCTGCAGGTGGGATCAGACTGGCAGCACGGCCGAGTTACACCCAGGGAGCAGGTAACACAGGCAGAGAGCTTCTGACAGCTTGGGAGTCACAGATACCGAAGTAACTCGGAGAGGAGGAAAATAACTCAAGAGGAAATCATTTTTCCTGCTCCCTCTCCAGCCCCCAAAGCAGGAGCTGCCTGCGGCTCCGTGAGTGTGATGACTCAGCTCCCGCACAACCCATCTGCCACTCGCTGGGTCCATTTGCATCATGCAGCACTGCATGACAACAGGGGGAACAACACTGAGCCACGTGCGCCCAGCACGTTGTACAACCACATTCCATCGCTGCTTGTGCACCACGGAAGCACCGCGGGATCGGATCGGGATGGGGACTGGGACCAGTATCTCGGCTGTGTCATGGCCCAGCAAAGGTACAGCTGTCAAGTGCTCGGGAGGGGCAAGAGGGTTCAAAGAGTCTCTCTTTTGGAGATCTGGCCTCTCCCCACAGGGCCTGCAGTCCAGGATAAAAAGTTGCAGGCACAGCTCCTGCTAGCGTAGCCCACGTGGGTTTTCCCGGGATGCTCAAGGAAGACACGGGTTCCCAAAACGTGGGTTCACGTGCATCTCACACCTACTCCTTGTAAACAGAAGCAAAAGCCTGTCCATAGAGGGTTCAAGTGCCACCTTTGGCTCAAAACGTCCAGGAGAAGAGGCAGAGCAGAATTAGCTGTTCCGAAAGAAAAGCAGCTCACAGCATCTTTAGGGTCAGACTGTCCCCCATCACCATCCTTCCCCCCCAAAAATATGCAAAACACCTTGTCAACTTCTTTAACTAAATATTCCTGAGTCTTCAGGGGTAAACATACCAATTAAGCAGTTCAATTTAGGCATGATGTTCATTTTAATTGTGCTAATCCACCCCCACAGGGAAGGATGAAGCAGCTTCCAACGCTCTGTATCTGTTTGGATCTTGCACAGAAGCCAGAGGAAGTTGCAGGATACAGTAAGTCAGTGGTTAGCATATGCCCAAGTAGCAGATGGTGAGAATGAGCTAAGAAGAGTTTGACTGGGAGGACAGGACTGTGGACACAGCTAAGCCCAATGGTTTGTCTTCAGGCTTCACTCGTGGTCTCTGCCTGTAGGTTACTAACATGGCAAGAAACAGCCTCTTCGGCAAAAATAGAGCTCCCTCGATGACAAGCTCTTCCTTGCTGTGTCAGTTTGCAAGAGGGAAGATGCTGAAGTGGTTAAACCAGCAGGTAAAACTTGCTGCTGACAGCTTCACAGAATCAACACTGGGGGAAACAAACCTACCCCAGCACATCCTTCACCTACAACCCTGCTAAAACGGACGAGTCTCGATGGTTTTGCAGCAGGACCCCATGGCACAGCTATCAAAATAGCTGCTCCTGTCACCCAGAGCTGAATCCTCACATACAATCAATCATGCAGGAAGAGAGCAGCAAGAGCTAACTGTTAGAGATGCGTCCCCCTCCACCCACCTTAGCAGACCAAGGCTATGAAGACAAAAATGCAGAGCCTTGCTGGCTCCTGCCTGTCAATACTGAAAGGACGTGTTGACAAAGAGCCTCCTTGCACGGACACGTGAGGCTCTGCCCCCGGCTTCTCTTCCTCCCTTGCAGACAATACGTGCCACCTCCAAAAGGCTGCTTTCAGGGCACTTTCTGAAGGGCCCTGCAGCTCAGAGTCAAGGCAGAAGGTCTCAATACAACATGTGGGATTTAATTCCCTTTGAGTTTAGCCACCTGGGTCCAATCTGAGCTCATGGTTAAAGAACTCAAACCAAACCCTCACAGGAGAGCCAAGACCAAGCTACCTGTGACCCTGCACACAAGGCCCACTCCAGAGGGGCAATGCACGAGTGAAGAGAACAACTGGTATCAAACAGGGTACCCCCCACCCTCCTCTAGTATGGCTGAGTGAGCACAGTTAGGCTGTACTTATTGCTTCCAAGTAGGAAGATCTTCCTCTCTAAGGGAGATACAACATACTTCTGGTGTTTCAAGAGATCAGTATTAGCATTTAAGGGATAAACATCTGTCTTGCATACCCCATCCCTTGGCACTGGGCTGAATAAGGATCACCTACCTTCTGGCTGATGGGCACAGGGAGATCCTCCTCTTCACTGTCTGAAGAGTCAGAGCTTTCCACTGGCTTTACACTTTCAGCAGGCTTTGTGGGAGCAGCAGTCCTTCCCAGCAGGGTTTTAGCCTGCTTTGGCACTGCTTTTTTTGGTGCTGGCTTCCCTTGTGACACTGGAAGTGTTTTTGCTGGAGATGCTTTGACGGAAAGTGATGCTGCTGGTGTAGGTTTCACTGGGGATGGGACGGCCTGGGAGGATTTTGGAGGTGACTTTGTCTGGACAAGACATGAACAGAGTGAAATAAGGCAAATTCTCCAGCAGCATAATTCATTTGCTTAGACTGTAATCAAGGGAAGAGATTTCAGAGCCCCCTGGGAAAGGCAAACCCTGAAGAAAGTTTAGTGACTGGGAGGACACAAGGAATTCTTTCATCTAGCTGTGTGGGGATAGTCTCCCAAGATGAGAAAGCAAGACCAGATATTCTTCATCAGCCTGCTGCTACTAATAGTCCCCTCCAGTGAGGTACAAGGCAGCACTTTGCACTCTCCACAGCTGGGAAGCTGGACTGCACTACAGCTTGACAAATTAGACACTATTTATTGCTATTTAAACCTGAGGAGCAAATTCCACCACGACAATTTGCCTCTTCAGATGGTAAAGGAATTACTGGGAGGCTTTTTTATTTAAAAGTACTGACGGATTTTTTTGTTTTGTTTTAAGAAAGGCACAGTGGGGTGATTAAAGCTCAGAGCCAAGACACTGAGGTGCTTTTGAACACCCCACGCCTTTTCCTCCCACCCCCAACAAGAGTTTGCTACACACTACGTGCATTTACAACATTCTCTTTTCACTGCAGTTCCCAGCCCTCAGAGGTGTGCAAGGAGAGAGAGAGTTTCAGACAGACGCACTTGGGTTACTGAAGGAAGTTCTTCATCTTCACTGTCTGATGAGCTGCTGCTCTCTGATGTGTCAACGGGCTGCGCAGCCCCTGGAACCGTTGTGGATGTAGGTTTGGTGTGGCTTGGTGCCAGCACTGTTTGCTTCACTGCATTCTTCTTGTGAGACACCGGAGAAGTAGGTGCACTTTTCACAGGTGCTGCATTGAACTGTGCTGCTTTCACAGCTGGTTTTGCCTGGTAACAAAAGGGAACAGGAGAATCAGAAGAAAATGGCTGCATGGAATGTTTTAAAGCAAGCTGCCTTGCTAACTTTGACCAGGACAGGCTCGTTCAGACCCTTGGGTTGTGGAGTATCTGAAAAAAGCCAATTTCTCCACAGACTCCCTGACTACATCCGTGAAACTGCACACCAATCACCTCCTACAGATCAAAGGATCTCCCTCAGCTTCAGGCACTAGTAGAAACTGGGATGGAATGATTGATGCCAGCAGGGGTTAATGGGGCTCTAAGCCACATAGCATGTTCTCTGGCTTTGGGGATCTCACACACCCAAGGTAAAGGGTGTTGTCAGAATACAGCATTGCAGCATTTCCTCTCATCTCCAAAAGAAGGGAAGTGACTTCTTAGGGACAAAGAATGTGTTGGAGTGGTTACCTGGACGGCTGGAGTTGCCAGCTGCTCCTCTTCCTCAGAGGATGTGTCCTCACTTGATTCCTCACTGCTGCTCTCGGCAGCCCCAGCCGCCTGCTTCGGCTCTGGAACACAAGTGAGGAGATGTCACAGCTGCTGCCTGCTCTGAGCCCCCAGAGAGCGATGCTAATGTGGCTTTTGAAGTCAGGGAAAGAAAACAAGCCACAGAGAGGGCTAAGGGATTTGCAGGGAAGAGGACCTAGCCCTGCTGAAAGCATCAGTGGCCTGCTGGGAGCAGCTTTTCCAGACAAACACTGGCCCACAAACACCACTCCAAGAGTGCAGGCAGAGATGGGAAATGCTTCCTGGCCACCCTCTGACCCTACGGGGAGCTGCCCGGCCACAGGCAGGGGTACCCAGCCTGGCTGGGCCTCCTCTGGAAAAGAGCCAAGAGAAGGATCATTTTCAGAGCTTCAACAGTCTGTGCCTCACCCCCTCCTCCAACACACACATACACACACACACACTTCAAAGCACTTAAGGATTTCCCTAAAGACTTCAAAACTCCAAACGAATCATCTGCAATTGGGAATAAAGAGAAAACGCTGCAGTGCCTTTCAAAAAAGCTGAAAGTATCTGTAATATCAGTACTGCATCTCTTGTGGACACACTATGCTTTACCCCCAACCCTGTAGTGCTGGGTGCTGCCAGACAGACATCTTAGCACAGGATCTGCTGCTTGAAATGGGAGCAAGCACGCTGGATTCATCCCACGGAGCTCCAGAGCTGGCTGCTTTGCAGTGTTCTAGCAGCCTCCCCAAGGAACAAGCATCACTGAGCTTTCCAGCAAGGGAGCTGAAAGGAACTTGCTGAAGGCATGTCTCAGACCCGATTCACAGCAGAGCTGGAGCACACACACACATTTACAACACCCTGCAGGCTCCTTACCCGCTTTGGGGGCTGGGGCCTTCACAGTCGGTGTCTCCTGTTCCTCCTCGCTCTCGGATGAGGAGCTGCTGCTGCTGCTGGAACTTTCCGGTGCTTTGCTCACTACTGGTGCTTTGCTTTGCCCTACTTTGGCCACAGCTGCTGTGGCATGTTTGGGCTTCCCAGGAGCAGGCAGTTTCTGTGCCTTGGCTGGAGCTGGAGCTGCAGCCAGAGCATTGGGCTGCTGCTTGTTGTTGGAGAGCACAGTTCTGTCGGGAGCAGGGAGTGCCGCTGCTCTGCCCGCTGGGGCAGTGGGCTTGGGAGGAGAATGCAGGGAGTTGGCAGCTTTGCCACCCACCACAACTGGTGTTACCTACAGGAAACATGAAAATTAGAAGCCTACACACAGATGAGGGGCTAAATTGGAGACAATGTACCTTCAACAGCAATCTGGCAACCAGGCAAGCGCTTTAAGGAAGGATTTGGGAGACAGACATCTGCGAGAAGGCTTATGGCAGCACAGGAGGGTCATTTTAATAACAATTCCACCTCAGCTCACAATTCTACACATGCCAAGGAGTCTGGGACAGTCCTGGCCTCAGAGTACCATCAGCCTTCAAAGCCACGAGAATTGCCTTACCGCCACTGCACCTTTCCCAGCCGGCGTCTCCTCTTCTGACGAGGACTCATCCTCCTCACTGCTTTCTACAGTCACTGCTGAGTTCGTGGCCAGAGAAAGGCTGGCTGCTGCACAGGAGAGAGCCACAGAACAGCTCTGTGAGTGTGTTTCTCACAACAATGTGGCCTCTGGTTTGCAGGAAGGTCCCAGCAGCAGGGCAGGGTCCCATCTCCACACCTGCCCCAACACCACCATCACTGCTGTCCCTGTGACAGACAAGTGCTTTGCTCCTCCAACCCATCCTTCTCCCCAGCACCAAGACAAGGAACCTGCCAAGATCTGCAGGTTTTCAAAGGCTAGTCTACAGCAGATGAACTGAGCCAAAATACATCAGACACATGGGTTTTTGTTAGACTCTGCAAGCCAACGCCACCCACATCAGCTGCACCAGGGATCTATCCCCACTTCAGACAGGGGCACTGGCTTTCCAGACCAAGTCCTTCCCTCACCCATGTAACAGGCCCGTCCTGCTGACCCCACACACACCTGGGACCAACTAGTGCTCCACAGTGGACAGTGAGAGGTTCCCAAGGTTTCATCCAAGCAACAACACCCATCCCTCCCCAGTGAATCATAACAGCTTTTTTTCTAGCTTCAGCAGACATCTGTGCTCCTCAGAAACTCCACATGAGAAGAGAAGAGGGTGCTAAATTAGTTGTCCTATTTTTCTATGAGCACAAGGGAATAGCCATCACTTTACAAGCATCTTCTCTAGCCAAGCAAGTTGGGTTGCTCCTACACAAGCCTCCAGTCCTACTCTGTCAACTCCAGGGAGATGAAAGGCTCCTACCATTTGCAGCTTTTGCCTTTTCTTTCTCATCCTCTTCTTTCTCTGAGCTCTCAGAGCTGCTCACGGGATCAGGAACTCTGATCTTTTCTGGGATGGCTGCCTCGTCATCACTCAACTTTCTTCTCCTCGAATTTGGGGGAGTTCTAGGGAAGAGAAATGGTGTCAAAAGCCATAAAATACATCTTGAACAAACTGCAATACAATTACTCATTTACTGTCAGGTGAGGCTCCAGGACAGGCAGTGTAATTCCTCTACGGCTCCTAAAGGGATGGGAGAAATAATTCTCTAACCTGCAAGGGGCATCTCTAGTCCTCAGGGAACTCCCAAGAGCAACATATCCCTGCAATACTCAGGAGATACTGAACCTAGACCTTTTTTTTCCGTGCCCTAAGCAGACTCTTTCTCACTTTAGCAGAGAAGTAAAAAAAATATATGGTCAGGACGGTGTTCAACGCAGAGCTAAGGCATCCTACACAACAAATTCCATCTCCAGGAGGCAGCTGTAGCCACAGAGTAGTAAGTGCAGCCTCAGGGTTAGGGCAGTGATCCCCAAACAGGTCTTGGTATTCCACAAGACCAGAAGAAATGAATCTGAAGGCTGTAAAAGCCATTTGAACTTGGGCTCCCAGGTCAAAAGGGCAAGAAAGTCAGGTTGCAGAGAGGTTTAAGAAAGAAAGGGGCTGGACCTACAGAAGATATGTTGGAAAAAGGGGAGGAAGAGGCCACAGATAAGCATTAAACACTTGAGCTGTTCAATTGGGTTAAAACATTAAGCTGGAGAAAGATTCCTCCAGGCTCTAAATCCTACCTGACCAGAACAGATGATGTGGGCTAAAGTTACCCATGCTTTCATTTGAAAATTAAAGAGAACACATTTGCTTCAATACAAGGATAACACTGGGCACAGGGTGTGATTCATATAGGCAATACTTCTAAGCCCTGAGACACACAATTATCAGAGGCAAATATCCTCACTTCTGTGCCAGTTTAGCTCATTTTATTTGTTCATCTGTTTTAAAAACAAGATTAGTCCAACAATTTGGCGAGTAAAGATTGTGCTTGTCACCAGAGCGTTCCAGCAGCACAGCTGTAACAGCAAGTTTCGTGCAAGCAGGCTAAGCCAAAGGCATGTTTACTATTCCAAAGTCCTGGTAACTACTCCAATAATCCCTTAATTGTTTTAATAAAACAACACGCAGCCCACACAGGCAGCTCTGATCCTGCAACACCTTCCTGATCCAGTGGCAGCTGATAGCACAACACAGGCTGCTGTCAGTGATCAGGAGCTCAGGGATTCTGTGTGAGGGGAAGATGTGGTGTCTGCTAGCACTGTCCCTGCAGCTTTCCAGAGCATCTGAGGGCTGCAGGGCTCTGGCTGCTCCTAGGACTGAGCTGGTCCAGCTTTCTCCTGTCCCCAGGCACCTTTCCACCCACTCACTCCCTGCATCCTCTAAGAGTAAATGCAGTTCTGGAGGGAGGCCACTCCTGTAACTGCAAGTCTCAGCTTTCAGGTTCACTCTGGAAGAGTTTCTGCAGGATAGCACCAAGGACACCTTGGTGAGATGGGCAGGAGCCACAGGGTAATTTAAGGAAGGACATTTTAGGGCCAAAACCCTATGGAGTGACAAGATGTAATAACTGCAGCTCAGTCACAGGAGCACTCCAGGACACTTTCTGGATAAAGAGAACTACTGGTCAACACATCCCTCCTTCTGACTCCAAACCAGGCATAGCTCAGGCAGATCAGGAATAACAGACACCTTTGTGGGGCAGGACGACAACAGAAGGGTGACACTGAAGAAAAAGGAATTAAACCTGATGCAAGTCCCCTGTTGCCCCCAGGTTTAACAGCAGCAGTGTCTGGGAGTGTTTGCTGCAGCAGGCAGGGTAAGGTCACCATCATCACCCACAAGAACAACAAACTGTTTTAGAGGCAGGAACTGCAAACCTCTTTCTGTGCTGCTACACCCTCACCTAGACCCAGCTTTTCTCCTGCCCAAGTGTGGAGCACAAGAGCAGGGACCAAGGCTGCAGCAAGGCATGAGGTGTTCCAGCAAAAACACACCTTTGAGGGAAACACTTCCCAAGGCTGCTGGTACGGCTGTGCTGAGGAGCATCCTCATTCCAGCACTCCCAGCTCCAGGGATTCCCTGGATAACCCAGTGCTGAGGCTGCCAAAGGCCTCCCTGCAGCCCTGCACTCACACATCCAACCAAAGCAAACCCTGGGTAGATGCCACTGTCACTGCACCCCACGGATGGGAAGGCCCCACACTGCAGACCTTCCCGTGGGGAATATGTAAGCACTGGGAACACATCAGGGCTTGAAAGGACAGGCTGAAACCAAAAGATGTCCTCTGAGCCAGATCATCTGTGATCTATGCCAAGGTTTAAGTCCCTGCAAGAGTTTTGGCATTTCAACATCTGCTCAACGTCTCTGTTCCTGGGTCAATGCCCCTGCAAAGCACGTGGCTTTAAAAAGAAAGTGAAACAGAACCAGGGAACAGATTTCTGACAATAAAGCACTACCGTGAGCCTCATAACATTATAGTATTAACCAGCACTAACAGTAGCAGCTGCTCAAAACTAAAGTAACAACTTATCTCCAAGCTCAGGAAATTTTAAAACCACAGTAATCTTGAACATCTGAAATGAACTGCTGTGAAACCACAGGTTAGGAGAAAAGTCTGCTGAGCACAGTTATCATTGGAAATACTCTGACAACTGGGAATTCTAGCAAATAAAGATCACACATGCCATGTTAGCACAGTCTGGAATCTATCTGATACTCATTTCGCCCTTTGACTTACTTTTCCCAGTGAGTAAAGATGTCCTCGAGAGAGGTCGAGAGGGAAGGGAGCAACTTCTGTGAAAGCAGAAGGAACACCAGTCAGGCATCAGCCCCGTCTCGAGATGCGACCACCAGAGACCGCAGGGGCCCGTCCAGGAACCCGCGGGCAAACGGGACCATGCCATCCCCACACACACGGTCCCGGTGAATCCCGCAGGACAGCGTGTCCCCCTGCGGGTCCCCCCGGCAGCAGCACGATGGTCCCGGTACGGGACAGCCGCTACCCGGCGGGGTGCCAGCCTCCTCCGTTCCCCCGGGCGGCTCGGGGCCGGGACACCACGTGGGCTCAAGCGGGCCAGCGTGCAGCCGCGGAAGCCACGAGCGCAGCCCCACGGCCCCGCACCGGCCGGTCGCACCCGGTGGGCGCTGAGGGTGCCAAGGGGTCCGGGCCCTGCCGAGGGCCCGCGCGCGTCCGCGGGATCATTCCCCCCGCCGCGGCCCAGCTTCCTCCCCCGAGGCGCCGGCGCGTCCCGCCCCCGTTACCTGCCCGGTCTGCGCCTGCAGTTCGCGGCGGCCCGCGCGAAGCCCGCCGCGCAGCAGGTGCTGGTGGATGAGGCGGAGCAGCTCCCGCCCGCCACCGGCGGCCATGGCACTCCGCGTTGCCGTGCCGCCGCGCGTCCACTTCCGCCTCCGGCCGCGGCCGCACCATGGGAAATGTAGTCCCGGAGGGGGGCGTCGAGGCACCACTGGGGGGATTCTGGTGCTAGCGGGGGGCGGATGGGGTCGGCTCCGGGGTCTCTCGCACAGCCCCCGGCAGGGGATGGAGGGCGATGCAGGGCGGCTGGGAGTCACCTCATGGAGGCCCCGCACATCGCCCTGGTGGGAGGTGGAGAAGGGAAGGGCGAGGAGGGGGTGTCGCTCCATGGGGGTCTCACACACCGCCCCGGCAGGAGATGGGGGAGGATGGAAAGGGGGGTTCGCCCGGCCGGAGCTGGGCCCCTCACACCCCCTCGGCAGGAGATGGGGGCGCTCTGGGAGCGGAGGGGGCGGGGGTGGCACGGGCGGGTTACTTGCACCACCACCGTGTGTAACTCTGTGCGTTTTGGAACAGATTTTCCTGCAGGATTCATCCACGGCGCTCCGGAGCTGAATCCTCGGGGCTGATTTAATGCTGAGTGGACATTAAGCTGCTGAGAGGAGCCGCTGGCGTTTTAGGGGCTAAAACAAGCAAAGGACGAGAGGGAAGAAGCTGCTCCTGATGCAGAGCAGCTGTTGGAGAGGGGCCTGTGACAGAGGGGCTGCCCCGCTGCCACCCCCCGCCCCGCGCTGATACTTTCCAGGAAAAAATCTGGCTCCCATCACTTTGGCAGAGGTTTATTTTTGGAAGGTTTAATAGTGTCCATGGTGTGCCTGTCGCTCATTCAAAATACAGACCCTTTATTCGTGTTCATAGGCAGGATTAAATATAAAACTGGCGTGGCTCCAGCTGGCTCTTGCACCAAACGTCTCTGACACCAGCATCGTCCAAAGCTGTAAAGCCACGGTCCAGGTGGCAGTTTTACAGCTCCTGTAAATGAATCCCAGACCTGGCCAGTCCTTTCTGGGACTGACCTCCCCCTGCACAAGTGGTCATGGTATGAACATGGCTGTGAAACACGCAGCGACAGTGTGGCTGCCCCAGGATGGGGTCCCAGCTCAGCTACTGCTGCTCTGAGGTGACCTGAGGTAACCAGGTCTCAGCTGGTGGCCTGGTTTAGGGCCCTGGTTCTCCTTGCTGGAAAGGAAGAGCCACATGGAAGCATTCTTGGGTAGAGAGCACAGAAGGGTGTCTCTTGGGGAGGCTGTGGAAGGGGCTGAGTGGACAGAGGCAGCCTGGGGACACTGACTTCGTGGCCTCTGAAAGTGTGGTTGGGTGGAGATTGAGCCCCCAGGGGTTCACAAAGAGCTCTGTCTGCTGCAGGTACGTGGATGAACAGATTTAGACTTGCTTTGACATGGCCTGGAATGGCTTTATACCTCCAGGAATTGCTCAACTCGCTTTGTTTATATAAAACCCTCCCCCAAATCTGAACACCAACACAGCTCCCACCAGCAGCCTGGTGATTACAGGAGTTGATGCTCGGGGCTCAGGCAGGAAGGAGTGGAGGGTCCCTCCTGGTCAGCAAAGCTCTCCAAACAAATGTCAAACTATTAATGGTGCAGGGAATTGCAAAAACACCGTTTGGAGAGGTCTAGGTGGAGGGTGGATGGGATACTTAATGCTGAGAGGATGACAGGTGACCAAGTCATCAGGTACCAGTGGAGAGACAAAGGAGAGGAATACTTCCTGACAACCCTCAGGGGTGGGACAATGTAGACAGACACTCAGCTCAGGTACAGGCAGGAGAGGAGAGCACAGCCCTGCAGGGCATGATGGCAGTGTGCTGGTCTGGGGTTGGAGGTGTTCTGCCAGCCCAGCTTTTCCAGAGCTCTCCAATCTCTGTGCCAAGGGATGATGCTTCACAGGGTGTCTGGGGAAACTGGCTGCATTAGTTTCCCCCAGCATTCGGGTGCCAGGAGTCCAATAAACCCCTGCTCTGCTGCATTTTCAGGCCTCCTCCTCTCCCATGGCTTGGGACTCACATGTACTAGAAAGCATAAAGGGTTTGGCTTTGACCAACTTCATGGAAGGGAAAAAGACAAAGGAGCACAGATGGCAGGAAACACTTTCAGGAGAGATTGCTCTGGAGGAAGGCAAATAGAGGATGTTAAAGCCCTGAGCGCTTATGCACAAATGGCTTGAAAAATTGAGTCCATTTCCCCGCCCCCCCAAGTGTCTCTTCACAGGTCTGCCACAGTTCAGGGTCACCTGAGTCCAAAGATTCATACCCTCAAACCACGAATACCCTCAGCAAACCACATCTCAGGGCCTGGGAATAACACGACCCACTTGAATGAAGAAATCTGAAAAAAAATAATATGTATGCTGCACCACAATTACAGGTAGAGAAGGTATTTGAGGCGGTTAGTAAACATGTCAAAAAATAAATACAGCTATTCAGTCAGCAAACAGCTGCATGATTATAACCAGGAAAATATATGCCAGCCCAAAGCCAGCTGAGACCCAACAACATGCACTTATTAAGGAGTGGTTTTTGTGTGTGTGTGTGTGTGTGTGTGTGTGTGTGTGTGTGTGTGTGCATGTGTGCATTTTTTGGAGGGAGGTTGAAAACATTTTGCCCACTCTTTATTTTAGGAAGGTGAAATATCCCTGGCAGATTTCAAAAGCCAACCTCTCGGGTATGAGTTGTCCATGCCAAGACACTGAGTCACGGAGAGATCGGAGGAAACTGTTGGAAATCCAGACAGGGGATAAAACAGCTGTAATTGAGGAGCCAGCTCAGCTCCATCTCTAATAACCACAGAGCCCTGTCCTCAGCCTTCAAGCTGAAGGCTTTGCTCACTGCCACTTTCACATGCTCTCTGGTTATTGCTTGGGGTCAAACTTGTCCACACCTATTCCATTCTGAATGACTGCTTATGTCTGGGCCAAGCCCAGGTTCAGGGAGTGTGCCTGCAGGCTGGAGAGTGCTGTCCTTCCTCCGTTGTGCCCAATGGGAGCTGACAGCCTCCAGGCACGTCTGCTGGACCGCTGGGCTTGCAGGAACACGCTGCTCTCCAAGCTTCGGTTTAATGTTTTTATCCACACGTAAGCTTCTGGCATGTCCTGTGTTGTAGCAGTCTGGGACACATCTCCCATCGTTATCCAGCCTTTTTGTTTGGTGCATGTGGAGTTGCTTATGCCTGTTTAGGAGTTGCAGAGTGAAGGGACTTCGTGATTTGTAGGGCAGGGAGCAGGGACAGGAGGAAAGGCACTCTGGCTGCTCCTCAGCTGCTGCAGCTCCTTGCCTGACCCATTTCATGGCTGCTGATTCCAGCCAGAGCACGAGCTGCAGGCACGTTGATCCTTCTGCCTCGGCACCAGAGCAGGTTGGGATGGGTGGCCAGGGACATGACCCTTGCAACCCCCAACAGGTAACTCTGATGTGTCTCATGACTCAGAGTGTTGGCTGAAAGTGCTTAGGATAATCTTCATGGCCGAGTTCAGAAACAGCTGAATTTCCCTGCTCTGAGTGCCCTGTTGAAAGAGCTTTTAGCCCTCTCCCTCCTGGAAAAACCCTCAGGGGTGCCACTGGGCTGAGCAGAGGAGGGAGTATGGAGGGGATGGGACGGGACAAGGTGCAAGAGATAGATGGAGATGAAAGGTGTTAAGGGACAGTGAGGAGAGAAGGTGGGAGCATGGACACAGGAGAAAGGGGAGCAGTGAAGGAATAGAGAAAGGAGTTCTCTTTTCCCAGGGAAGATGAGTCAGGGAAGGGAGGTAGGAAGTAAAGGAAAATCTGAGAAGGGATGGAGAAGCAGAGGAAATGACCAAATTAGCCTGAGGGGATTTGCTCACTGGGGGCCCTGCCTGGACAGCTCTGGGTGTGGAGGGGGTTTTCCAGGTGCTGCTCTCCCCGGCTTTGAGTCACAGTTTTTACCAGCATGTCTCACCACCATCTGGGTAATATCCTGGGCAGTAGCCAGGCCTGGAGGCAAAACTGTACGTGGCCACAGTCACTGTCCTCTGCCCAGTCGGAGGGCTCAGCCTTTGCAAGGACAAGGAGCAGCTTTGGGAACAGTCTGACTCAGGAATCCTGTTTTATTCTCCCCCCTTTGTTTTGCTGTTCTCTTCCCCCCTCCTCCTTTTTCTTTGTCTGCTAATGCACAGCAGATGGGAGGAAATGCCATTTTAAATGCCACAGCATCCTGATGAAATGTGATGGGTTATGGCAATCTCGGATGAATCATGGCATTGTTTTGTGTACACTGCCCTGCTGCCGCTCGGCCTCACTGGGGCAGCTCTCTCAGTGTTTAGAAAATACACCGAGGACTGTTCAGGCATCCCCAGCAGCCTGGTGACAGGTGCCCTCCCGGACCTGGATGTCCAAGTCACATTCATAAATTAACCAGCCGCATTTGTGGAGGCCAAACCGAGGCTGTGGCACTTTGAGACCAGCATTTAGTTTTGAAACATCTGCTCCACACTGCCTTTGGGTCTTGGGGGTTATAAATGACACTCAAATCCCATGCTATGTCATAGGATTTTTGCACACAGTGGAAGAACAAGATTGGGAGAGCCCAACAAGGTGCAGCACAGCCCTCCCTGGCACCTCCAGCTTAGCTGCTGGTCCCCTTAGAAAGCCGAGCTGTGTCACCACATCTGCCTCTTCCTTTGCCCCACAGCTGGGATGGATCCACAGAGCCAAAGCTGAGGGGATTTCTGTGATGTGGCCACTTGCTGTTGGGGCTTTGCTTGGGGTGGTCAGATCATTTCCCCTAAGCTATGAGGCAGGTATCAAATAATATTGACTCACTCTCCAGCAGCTTGCTGCCAGATGAGAAGGAGCAGCTCAGAAGTGAAAAAAAATATTGAAAAAATACATATACGCATATCCTAAAAGCTCCATCACTGAAACTCAGAGCAACCCAGTCCTTTTGGTTTCAAACTAATTAACCGGGGGGAAAAAGTCACCTCTAAGCCTGCGAAATATAAAGCAGTTTTTAAATTTCGGTAGCTGAAAGAACAGATTTGAGAACTCCAACGAGCAGAAGACGTGACATTAAAATT